AGCTTTACTTTTTATTGAGGAAGACATTCAGGATACAAAGAATACTGTTTATTTAGTTTTCACCTCCAAATAAAGCTTGGGTCAACGGAAACAGCATATATTACAAAATTTCTTCTAAGTATATGTGCTTTTACTTCTCTTCACTCTTTTTCATTAAAAATTATGCTGATTTCTGAGGAAGGGACAAAACTTTGGTATATAGTTCAGCTGTTCTTTTAAAGCCACGTTACAATTATATATAAATTATTGTAGGCTGGAGCACTTTAGCATTTGACTATTTCCTCTATCTAATGTTAGCTTCTCTCTGCCAGAAATTCCTCCATTTTATTCCTTTTTTTGTTTTTTGTTTTTTTTTGTATACAATATGTGATGAATTGTGATTTTTCTTGTTCTGATGGACTTTTAAGGATTATGTTCATTTATTTAAGAAGTATTTAAAGAGAGTGACAGATTGATAGACTACATTAGGCAAAGCTGTGCGGTAGATGGGGTTATTCTTTGATTACCCTGGCCTACATTTCCAGTGTTCCTCTTTCTGTCTTTCCTTGCAGAAGTCTGTCCTGAGTATCATGCTACTCATCCTATCTACGGACTTTATTACTTGAGAGTAGCTATGTTGTTAGCTGCTCCAAGCTTAAGGTTTTACCTCTTCTGCATAAATGGCCAATGGTTCTATCAACTTCCGAAACCAATCCAGGTTTTAAATCAGATTCTCTTTCCTTATAATACAGAGCCGTAGCAACTGCCATTGCATTGATTTGGAAATACTTGCATTCCGTTGAATCACAGATTTTTTAGAGCTATAATTTACATTTGTATTATAAAACACGAGGAGCCTTGGTGGTGCATTTGTTAAGCGCTTGGCTACTAAGGAGAGGTTGGTGGTTTGAAACTCACCAGTCACTCTGCAGGAGATAGATGTGATGATCCCATGAAGATTACGGCCTTGAAAACCCTATGGGGCAGTTCTACTCTGTCATATAGGGTCTCTGTGAGCTGGAATCGACTTGACAGCAATGGGTTTTATTATAAAACATAGATGCTGCTGAAAAACATTAAAGGTATATATTTATAATTTTTAATGAAAGAAACTCTAAGTGATTTCATAATCATGACTGATGAATGTGATGCATGGGATGAGATAACCATAAAATATGAATATTTACCTCTCCCCCAAATGACCATGATTTTCAGATTTCTCGAGATTATCAAGTGAATAAATATAGAAAACTAGTAGATCTACAAACTTTCCCATCATAAGTTATTTATGAAAGGTTAGTTATTTTATGATAAAAGCATGTGCAATCTAATTTGTGAAACATTAGGTTACATAATTCATAGTGCTGTCGGACATATCATTTCATATAATCAGGTTGTCACTTTAATAGTTTTAATGAGAAACTTCTTTATGTCATCAATTATTGCCTGTCAGATAATAAATATTAATCTAAATACTTAGGAACCAATTGATGATATCTTGCCTGCTGAAATGTTTTTAAAATACTTGCTTTATTTGACTAGAGAGATAGCTACATTTTTTGGTAGGAGCTAGGGAATTGTGTCTAAATATTAGTTTGCGTCAGTATAAAGTTAATAGCCTCTCTGGGACTGGAAGGGGGCGAAACGACTTCCTCTTCCAGACATCTGGCTGCAGATACTATCAACAACAATTATCTATGAAAATAAAAATTACTGTTCCATAGAAAAAAACTGTCATTTACTGATCTGAGATTAGCCTATGACATTAATGGGTCACAAAGCAGTATTTCTAAAATATATGATCTAAATTTTTTCCCCCTTATTTTCCCATTCTCAGCAAGTTTCTTCTTTAAATTTCTTATTCATAATAGTATACATTGCCCTTTTCATTCAACGGAAAAAATATATAGCTAGATTCTGTTCCATTTATCCCAGTTTATCTTGATTTTTAAAACACCAAGTCAAACTTCAAAATGAACATCAAAACTTACTACTTCTTTTGTAAAATGTGAGTCAGAACAGATAGCAAATGAAAGCTGGGGTTGTGATCCATACACTCAAGAAAGATCATCTTAATCCAACACCGTAATCCAAGAGAGGGCTGCTATTGGTCCCAGCATTGCTAAACTTCCCCAACTGGTCAGATATCTAAGTCAGTTCTGTGTTCCCTAATGGGGAAACATGTTCTTTTCAGCTGAGGCAAAGCGCTCTGAGAGCAAATCTCATGACGATGAAAGGAAAGATTCAATGATGGCTTTTATGCTGCTTCAGTGGTTGCTAGCTGGACAGAAAGGTGTGTGTGTGTGTATGTGTGTGTGTCTGCCTGTGTCTGTGCGCGCGCATAGTGTTGATAGTGACATTCAGCTTACTTCCCATCTTCCTTCTTTCCTTTTTCCCCACTCCGATTTAATCCTTTTCATTTGACATAGAAGTCAAAGGTGGGGGTGGTTTATAAGAGAGGCATTTGGGTAACCCTTATTCTTTTTCCTGTTATCCTTAAGAATGTCATTATTTAGTCATCAAACCCATAATATATTTTCTTGTTTCTTAAGGGTTTTCCCAAATCGAAACAGTTTGAGGTAAAGTAATCACAGTGATCTTTCTTCAAAAGGAGCTATTAGCAGCTACTAAAGCAAGACACATTTCTCAACAGCCAATTGCTCTTAAATAACTTGAAGGACTTGTAGTTTATATGTGCTAGAGATGAAAGCTGAGAATAATAATAGTCATGAGTAAGCTATTTTCCATATAAAAGGAAAAGTGTTTCTATAAGATGTATTGCCCAGGAATCTGTCGTTGTCAGCAGGGTGGTCGCTCAGATGATTTAAAACCACTAGATAATGAAACTTTACTCAAATATTAAATGTACATAAATAAAACATTTATAATCATCACCCCCGCACTTACTATTCTTCCCAATAAATACATGCGACTGTGACCCTTACCCTTACTTGTTACTGCTAATCAGTTCGAAGGTTAGGGGTGATTTTTCACTCAAACTATTTATTCCACGGTGGATGAAATATCAAAATGATTTTCTGCAAGGAACAATTAAAAGGAATAAATGCAAATAAAATAGTGTCATAAAATATTTTCAGATTGATTTTTAATAAATAAAATTCAAAGGAATACGGAAATGCGAATGCTGTGGCTGGAGAGGGATATGACCATACTCGGCAGAGGCAAAGTTTCCTCCAACCGCTCTGAGCAGCCTCATCATTCCATTTCTCTGCCCCGTGATCAGTATGTGTCAAAATCCTTCATAGTGACAAATGTGCTGTCCACTTGCATCTGTGGAGAATGTTTTAGCAGGCGAGTGATTATGAATCAAACCCGAGCTTATAGCCCCTACTGCCTCCCAATGCGTTCACATTTGTCGTCTGACAAGTAAATGTATCTCGACTTTCCTCTGAGGTTTTTTTTTTGCACCATGTTTGATGAAAGACATTTGGCAAATTGGCAGTGGTACCCTGTACGTTGCAATTTGTAGCTAGCATTAGGAATCTGGGCATGAAATGAGAGGGCAGGCTCCAGGCTAAAGGGAAAAGAGAGAGAGCTAACTAGAACATGAATAGTCATTTGAAGAATCAAGCATACAATATTCCCCTTGTAAGAAGAAGATCATGTTCAGACCACTCTGTTAAGAGTTTCAGAAGCCAATGGTATTCTGTCCATCTGTGTGTCTGCAGAATATGTATTTTCTTAATTTTTCTTTCAAGTAGGAGATTCTGTTTTTTCACTTTTTACCTTGAGCTCTGTAAATTAGGCCCCTATTTCTGTCCAATTGTCTTATCAGCAAAAGTTAGCCTATTGGATTGACCAGTTACCTGAATTTGCAGTTATTACTATCGCATTCCTTGTGTGGAGTTTTCTGGTCTACCACTCCAGCTCATTGAGAAACACAGAGTGCATATAGAGTGCAAACACCTTTTAAATAGCTTTTTGAGCTCTCCAGTGGCATAGTGCCCTGAGAACCAAATAAGTAATGGGTGAGTTAATTTAACAAGATGGCCTGAAAGTTTGCTTTTCAACATCAAAATTCAGTAGCAAGCAGCTTCCAAATAAAATGTTAGCACTGAGGAAACTTAACATTTTGAGAGGGTCAAAGGAAATGGGAGAATCATTCTAATTGTGGGATTGAGGACCAAGTTAACTTTTAAAAGCAAATGACACTCTTTGATTGTGACACTCTAAAATATGTGTGCAGGTGGACAAAAGCTTGAAGATTATAAGCAAAGTAAATTAAGTTGTTAGAGGGGAAGAATTAGGCAAGCTAGTTTTTCTCTAAGAATATTTCTGTAAGAGTATAGTTACACTAACTGCTCTCTTTTTCTTATAACACGTGCCAAGTCATACTATTGAAGTTATAATAATATAGGTTGTAATGAGTTGTCATTACAACTCATTCTTTGTCCAGAACAAATTAATATTTCATCAGGATTCTTTGTTTACGAGCCCATTTAAAAATCTGGTATATCCAGATATTAATTTAACACACTTCGGCAATATGCCTCTTAGATATTTAATTTTTTTCTTTCTGGGTTACACATATTTGGCTTAAGCTATAACTTTGGAATGCCTGATGTTCTTTCATGCTGTGAGTTCTTTCCATGTGACTCCATGGTTCCTAGGACTTTTCTCTATAATTCGTAGTTTATTGTTGAAGTCCAGAACAGAATAATGATGCTATCACTTACTTTAATGAACATTTAATTTGGCTTTATTATCTTTCTTCTGTATTTCATTGCTCACTTGTATATTAAATTATTATAAAATAGTCTAACCAAGGTTTTACGAAAAAGTTTACCCAGCATTTTATAAGCTTACTACAACCTTTGTTTTTCCAAAATGAATCAGTTCTCTGGTCATTTGTTTCATGTTGGGACACTACAACCTTTTTCTACAACCATTGCATTTAGCAGATTTCAGGTTTCCGTTTTAATGATGTTCTTGGTTTGCCAGATCTCATTATAGAGGAAAAGATGTCAGACCCTTCATGGTCTTGTGCTTTTGCCTTTTAGATGTCGGCTATTGAAAACATGGCGGAGAAGCTAGAGAGCTTTAGTGCCCTGAAACCTGAAGCAAGTGAGCTTCTACAGTCAGTCCCCTCCATGTTCAACTTCAGAGCGCCTCCCAACGCCCTGCCAGAGAACCTCCTGCGCAAGGGAAAAGAACGCTATACTTGCAGGTAACTACAAAGTTAATTATGGCTGGCTTTCTGAAAATCTCCCCTCTGATTTCAAAAGGCCCTACTGTTTGTTTTGGAAATTATTCTTGATTAGATGATTAATAGCAACTGTGATGGATCCAGGCACTTCAAAGTGCTCTTTATTTAGTGAGATAGAAAAATAGTGGTTTTAAAAAATTATTATTAAATGAGAATTTTAACACAGGCCATTCGGTTTTGATAAATGAGGTTGGAAACTGTCCAAATACTATCTACTTGTCTTAGTTCCCCATCACTTTGATATTTATGAATTTTCTTTCACAGTTAATTATTTTCATCCTAAGGTATAATACTATTGTCCTTAAGAATACATTTATTAATTGCCATAGCATTAAAGAAGAAGGCCAGTAAGTGAAGGATGAATAAGGTTGATAGGTAAAGAAAGCCAGTTAATAAGTATCTTGTTACTCGTCTGTAGCACAGTAAACTTGTTTTTTGTTTGTATTTGTTTTGGGTTTTTTTGTTTTTCTTTTTTACAGATTGTGATTCTAATTTCTGAATTGGCTTCCAAAATCTATGGCATCTGACTCAGGCATATCAGTTTATCTGCTCTTTGGAAAATTTGTCACTTTCTTCCCAGAAAAGATTTTATGGGAACATACCTTGATGGATGAGGTCTCAGAATCTTGTCTGATCTGATACCACTCAATGTACAGAGAGTTGGCACTGTGGCTGACATGTAAAATGAGTTGAAACATTTGAAATCTGTTTACATCAACCCAGAATCACAAACTCTGTCATTTTTTTATCCCCTTGTCTGGTTTGGTTTTTTGAATGTAAAGATAGAAAGTTACCAAAAGAGTATGGGGGTCATCAAACTAGAGTCTATTTTCATAAATTGGTTGCTTATGCGTGTGCAAATCCAACCAGATCTCATAAGGCAGGCTTTATTTGTAGAGTTATTTATATCCATAGAATGGCTTTGTTGCAATTTTTAAATACCAAAGACATGTGAGTTCCATGCAAGATTAATTAAACCAGGAATAAGCATCTGGCTTCTTATGCGGCTCGAGTGAAATAAAGTCAACTGTGCTGACTTTCTCTTATAAACATCTTTTCATAACAGATACTGTGGCAAGATTTTTCCGAGATCTGCAAACCTAACACGGCACTTGAGAACCCACACAGGAGAGCAGCCTTACAGGTCTGACAATTTTTGCTAAATTACCTTGATAAGTATTGTAATAATTAAAGTGTCTTGTGGACAGAATTTTAAAGGAAGCTATTTTTGTGCATGTATGAATGTATGTCTATTGAATTTTGAGTCAAGGAAGAACTGACCAAAAAAACAAACAGAAAAAAGAATTAAGGGCTAGGATGAAAATTATGAGTCCTAACTTCTCTAATCCATGTTTCCTACATTGTTGGCTAGCTTCATAATCTTGGTTGAAAACTTCTAATCAAATAACTAAGTTAGTATTCTGTTACCGGGTACCCTTGGTGTTAGTATAAGGAGCAATTGAGTCAGAATGATCTGGATTTTAGGTACAACACAGCCATTTATCTGCTGTGTTGAGACACATTACTTACCTTTCTGAGGGTCAGTTTTCCTGTCTATGAAGATTAAGGTACTAATATCTCTCTCCTAGTGCTATTATGAAAAAAAGTTAAAATTATATTGCTAATAAGGCACTTAGCACACAGGTACTTGGTAAATGTGAGCTAATATAATTATTTTGGCTAAGCAGCAGAACTTTTGCTCAGTAATCAGAGTATCTGGATTTAAACTGAGCCTCTACCACTTTGTAGCAGTGTAACCACAGGCACATTCTTAACCTCTCTGAGCTGAGCCATTTCTTCGTCTGTATAATGTGAATAATTATAAAGCCTTTCTCATAGAGCGCTGTGAAGATTAAATGAACTAATCCACATGAGGCCCTTGGTGTGGTGTGTAGTAAAGAATAAGTGTTTAAGAAATGTTAGCCATTTAAAAAATTAATTTTATCTGTTTTAGTGCTCTCTCTTTTCATAATTAGTTACTATTTTAGTTAGCAGTAATCGTAACATTGCAGCCTCTCTTTTCTAAATCTTAAGTCTCTGTTAGGAGATAACAACCCATGTATAACTTTGTTTTCCCAGCACAGCTGAGCCAATGTCTACAGGTCCTAATAGCAGGTTTGAGGCATATCCTGGGGAAAAGGAAGAAAATATAGAACTAGAGATAGAACAGACAGAATAGATTATACAAAGAAGGGCAAGTCCACCAACAAGTTCCTAAAGTACTTCTTAGTTTATTCCATTAAATGTCAAGATTAACCATATGACACATGGAACATCTGTCTAATTTCAATGTCTACATTATTGTTTACTAAAGAGTGAAAATAATCAGTGTGAATGTTATTTATCATAAGTAATATCATAATTTCATCCTGGTTTGAATTTCTTATGCATTGCATATGTGTAATATTATTTTTTATCTAAATGCTTACTTGTTTTGTTAAAATAAGGCAATTATATATCAGCTTTCAAAGACTTTTTTACATGGCCAGAATAAGAAAAATGGGCAGACCAATGCCCAGGTGTTTACACATAATTGAAATTTTAGGAGAAAATTGAAGGAACTTAAACTCAGAAAATAATAAAATACTTTCTTAAATTCTTTGTTTACCTACGTGTTTTATAAGTCAGTAATCACAGTGATATTTCTTTCTATGTGATAGAATGCACTTGATATAACAGGTCGCAGAAAGAGGTATAGTAGTGGGAAGTGTTAGATGCCTTTGTTTTTTGAGAACACTTAATTTCCTAGGAATTCTGCTTAAGCAGTTTGACACTCTAAGAAGGAAAGACTTCCATGCACGTATTTTGTTATGGCCAAGGGTCCTTGTATGCATCTATGATATCATTCCAGTTTTACTCTTCTTTTGTACCTGAAGTCAGTGATTTTATTCTACCTCATAAATGGTGCTACTATTGTACATATTTTTTAAAAAACATGAACTAGAATTTTGGCATAGCTAGAGATCTTACACAACTATTTGCTCAGGGACTTTGTTTTACAAATGAAAAACCTCAGATCCGGAGATGCTAATTGCCTTCTCAAAGGTCTGGTACCAGTAGTCAGAATTAAAACCCAGGCTCTGAGCTCCCGCTTCAGAACTTTTATCTCATAGCATGATCTCAAACATTCCATTGGCTTCTTTCCCTATATCCAGTGACTACAAGTACCTGTTGCCATTGAGTCAATTCTGACTCATAGCAGCCCCATGTGTGTCAAAGCAAAAAACGGTGCTCCATAAGGTTTTCAATGTTGATTTTTCAGAAGTAGATTGCCAGGTCTTTTTTCCCAGGAGCCTCTGGGTAGACTAGAACTCCCAGCCTTTCAGTTAGTAGCTAATGCTTGTTTGAGCTATTCAGGGACTCCATATCCAATGACTAAGAAGGCTTAATAGTATACTGTTCATGATTACATTATATGTTCACTTGAAGAATTCTCGAAGCTTAGGCTCTGATTTGATTTGTCTCTTAACTACTGGCTAATTTTTTTGGAGTGGAAATGAATGTTTTCTTATTTGGATCTCTCAACATTTTATCCAAGACATTAGCAGGAAGGACATAAAGTAACAGCTGATTATTGGTTAAAATGCCCTTATCGACCAGTTTTATTTATATTAGAGAATATGATGTTTACTAGATTTGGAAAATCCCCTTTGCATATAAGCAAAATGTTGGAAGCATGTCAAAGACATAATCTCTCATTCTTGTGATTTGTATAGAAAATGATTTAAGTGAAAATTTTTATTAAGTGTTTGATCAGACTATAAATTGTGTGAACATTTTTGTGAACATATTTCTAAAGTTTATGTTAGGAGTATACATTTTTTCTATCAGTGAAAGAGAATTTCTATTCTTTTCTGCTTATTGCAATACATTGATGTTAATTGTACAGTGGTTCTCGTTGCAGTGGGCCTTGGGGGTCCACAGAGGTATTGCAAAGAAGGCCATGACTCCATATGAATTTTTTTTTCAAAAGCAGAGGCTAAAATGTTACAACTACTATTAATGTGAGGTTTCACAAAGTTTTTGTTAATATTATAAGTATGGAAAGTTGAGGAACCTCATGATGCCAGAACAGTTCTCTTAAGGGGACAAAATTAAACCATTCCTTGAGTTGGTTTATTGACACAATGCCAGAAAAACTTGTTCAACAGATTTATTTTCCCTGCTAAACCAACTAGACTTCTGGCTCACACAAGGATAGCCTAGAACTCCAAGCACCTTGAGTGGAATGGGGTGATTTCTGTTCGAGCACTCTAACCATACCTACTCACTAAGTCCAAATTCAGAAGTGGGAGGAGAAGACCCTTCACACATGGAAAAATGAGTTAAGAATTTTCTGGCAGCTAAATTAGAAATTTTCACTTAAAAATCGTTTGGAAAAGTCAATTTGTTCTTGCTAGCAGCACACACACAAATTACATCCACAAATGATACAATCTTTATCTTAAAATACCAGAAGAGAATACCCCATCAATTACAAAAAGCCACTTTTCTTCCTTACTGATAAGAACTCGAGGGGAGGATTAAATTTTTATTTTATGACTAAAGGAAAACTTTGAAGTAATTTATGACTTTCCATTACACAGAAGGCAGAGACAATTCGTCAACAAATAATAAGTGCTTTCCTGAAAAACTGACTTGGTTCAGAACTGCTACAGACCTTTTAAGAAAAATAGCAATGGAAAATTGGGGAGAGTATGGAGAGGGTAGATTAATGAGGACCTTTGCTTTCATTTCAAAAGGAGAATTCAGTGACACTATTACTTGCTTTTATAACAGTTTAAAGATTAATAGAGATTTGGTGGACTCCTAATCACTACAGATTATGAAAATCTACGTCTTTGGTATCAAACTTAACTATTCACATTGCCTCCGTTTTAAAAGTTTGGACTATTTATGGCTATTTTGGAGCAGGTAATAGAATTTCCCATCTAGATTATCAGTCTAGAAAGTAGATTTATTATGAAATGATTTAATCACACTCTACAATTTTGAATGCAAAAATCATCTTTTTACTTTGAGGGATACATAAATTTGTCTCATGTTTGTTTACAAAGGGTTTAATTGTGTTATGCTAAGCAATGCTACTATTTCTTAATGTCCTTATTTTTGTGAGGTTTATTTAAAATATCAAGATTAATTGCTTTAGTAAATTTGGGAGCAATGAAATCATCGATGTTTTATTATGTTTTTCAGAAAATCTTTGAAGCAAAGGCTATTGAAATTGAAATCTCCACTGTGTGACTAGAATTTCTGCCTGTGCCTTTTCTCTAGATTGTTGTTTTGTGGATCATAATTTTTGATACCTGGCTTACTAGTCTTGTGAAATACCTTTTGATTTGCTTGAGGATATATTCTCTACATTTATTTTTCAGATGCAAATACTGTGACAGATCGTTTAGCATATCTTCTAACTTGCAGCGGCATGTTCGGAACATCCACAATAAGGAGAAGCCATTTAAGTGTCACTTATGTGATAGGTGTTTTGGGCAACAAACCAACCTAGACAGACACTTAAAGAAGCACGAGAATGGAAACATGTCTGGTAGGTAACAGTTGTGTTATGAGAAGGTGGCTTATTTTTTGTATTTTAAAAAGTAATTGTATTCTTTCTTCTCTCATTTTACTTTGATGTCAGAATCAGATCCTACTGTGAAAAGTTGCAGTACGTTTCTCTGATTTAGAATGATGTGATCACCACTGGTTAATATAAATATACAACTCACTGATCTTATTTGGATTTTTTTTTATTATTTTTATTCTCCTGAGTTCATCTCATTTGGGCAATCTCAAGCGAAGAGAACCAATGACTCAAACTCAGAGGAGACTTATTATGAATCAAGATTTCCTAAATTGCTAGGAAACAATCTCTCCACCTATTGACTCAGAATGTGGCTCCTAGGCATGGCGGGATTTCCAGACAGCCCCAGAATACCACTCTCTAAATATTAACCTAGAAATCATGACTGCTTTTGCAGAAGGCCTGCAGTTCAAAGAACCTCTCCTGGACAACTGTTTTTTAAGACAAAGGAGGGACAGAATACTGTCAATATGATTAGAACAGCCATGGCAAGTGATAGTGGCGTATGGTTTTGGTGACAAATCCTGATGTAGAAATTTTGTTAATAATAAGGGCCGTTGTCTTTGTCACTGGCAGAAGACTCACTTTTTCTTAGCGTGTACTTGGCAGCACATAGTTTGCAGAAGGGATTGTAGGTTTTCTTACCTTTGGCTTCTGAGAGTTAGATAATGAGCCGTTAACATTTGCCAGCTGGCATATGTGTGCAGAGCCAACCTGTGTAGCCACAATTTGTTTCTAGGGGATCAAGGAAATGAGTTGTGTGGGGTGGGGAGGGGGCATGGAATTTAGGAAAAGTAGTTTTAAGAGCAGAAAATGTTGGGTTTATCCAAACAAGTAATCTTTACTTAAGGAAATTATTTTATTATTATGCCTTCCTCCACAGTACAGATATATTGCTTATGATCTTGAATGGTTACTACTTAGAACTATATACTGTGCATTTCACCCAAAGTCAAAATTCTCATGGTTTAAAAATATTAGATTTTAGAAGCAGAAGTCTAATCCAATATGTAGAACTGGCCACACTTTCTAACCATACATACCTTTATAGCATATTACTATGATTTTCTAGTCAAAGTTATTTTGGAAAAAATTGAATAAGTTAAAAATGTAACGTGTCAAAGTTGACTATTTACTTGTCAACCCAGATTATAGCTTCATTAAGTGAAGGGTATGTTCTAACCTATTGTTGTTGATATATAAACTATTGTAAAGAAGTATTAAATTGCAAACATTTTGTGGCAAAGATAAACAACATGAAGCTAATGTTGGTGTAAAGTTTAACCACATGACCACATATAAAGTACTTGTTGTTGTTAGCAGCCATCATGTCATCCCGCAACTCATGGCGACTGCATGTGCAGCAGAACAAAACAATGCTTGTATCATCCCCATTATTAGTTGCAGATAGGACCATTATGATCCATAGGGCTTTCATTGGCTGATTTTTGGAAGCAGATCACCAGGCTTTTCTTTCTAGTTTGTCTTAGTCTGGAGGCTCTGCTGAAACCTGCTCAACATCACAGTAACACAAAAGCCTTCCCTGACAGGTGGGTGGTGGCTGAGCTGCACTGGCCCGGAACTGAACCAGAGTCTCTCTCTCGGAAGGCAAGAATTCTACCTCGGAACCACCAATAATATCCCCATATAAAGTACCTACACGTGTATAATCTTATGTAAGCCTTACAACAATCCTTTGAGGCAGATATTATGATTCCATAATATGGTTTCAATTTTGTAGATGAGGAAGCTGAAGATTACCCTGTAATCGGCAGATCCAATATTGTCCTCTTAATATTATACCACTCCAGCCTGTGGACTGATGTTTTTGGAATCCACTTGCTGCTTAGCTCACCAAGTCAGGGTGCAGAATTTTCAGCGTCTCTTCAATCTTCATTTTGCAACATCCTTTAGTATAGGAGCAATAAATATGTATTGACTGTAACTCGTCAACTAAGTATGCAGTTTTCTGTGGTCAAGTCTAAGACCTATAGTAATTTGCTCATTGTATCTTCATCTTGCCATGCCAAGGCCAGGTTGGGGGAGCTAGTGGTAGAAATGACAGTAGGAGACTGTACCTCTACTATTAATAATATCCAAAATGGACTATTTTGATCAAATTCAGAAGGAATGAGATTCAAAATAAGTTGCCATACAAATAATCAAAACGAAACCCGTTGCTGTCCATTCGATTCTGAATCATAGTGGCCCTATAGGGCAAATTAGAACTGCCCCTTAGGGTTTCCAAGGAGCAGCTGGTGAATTCGAAATGCCGATCTTTTGGTTAGCAGCTGAGTTCTTAACCACTGTGCCACCAGGGCTCCTACAAATAATAAAAAGGCTTTCTGCTTCCCACAGGTACGGCAACATCATCCCCTCATTCTGAACTGGAAAGTACAGGCGCGATTCTCGATGACAAAGAAGATGCTTACTTTACAGAAATTCGGAATTTCATCGGAAATAGCAACCAGTCACCCAGGAACACAGAAGAAAGGTAAGCCCTTTTTTTTTTTTTTAAGTCTGTCTCTTCTGAAATGAATGTTTTCGAGTACATATTTGTAATATTAGTATTACTGCCACTATCAATGACTAATATTTATTTAATACATATTAAATACCATATGCTTTTCTAAGTACTTTATATATGTTAATTAATTTAATTCTCATAATAACCTTATGAGCTAGAGACTATTATCTAATGTTATCAGTGAAGGAATGGAGATGTTGAAGGTTAAATACCTTGCCAAAGATCACATAGGTAATAAATGAGTTTCTCAGCTGGACTGTCTGGCTCTAGAGCCTACATTTTTACGACACTGTTCTGCCTCTCTTGATTGCTAAGTAGAACATTTTATCAAAACTTGCCAAGTAGAAGGGAAAGGCACCACAGTGATTCAGTTAAAGCACTGTGAATCACTGGTCAATAATGTTTACTACTACATATCATAGATAACAAATGACATTATGTATGTATATATGTAATACCTGTTTTAAGGACTTGAGCGTCACCCAAATATCTTTTAGTTGGAAATGATAAGTTTCTTAATAAGATTCTATCACGACTTTATGTGCTTTCGAGTGCATACTCATTTAATTCTGGCATGTTTGTTTTCATGGATATGCTCATCCTTGTTTTTAGTAACCTGGTGCACTGGCTCCCACTTGTCCTCATCAACATCAAACATACATGGCTCAATTCATTAAAAAAAAAAAGAAGAAGAAAAGCTTTTAATGCTGCTGATAATAATAATTAACACTTATCTAGCACTTCACATTTTATGTTAAGTCAATGAAATGTTATTTCACCAAAACTATTGGATTTTTCTTATCTGTAAGTTATAATTAAATACCCATAATTGAGGACTAGACTTTGCTGATTATTAAATTACAATGCTGTATTATAAATTTTAACATAGCGTAGAATTAGTAAAGTTCCATTACTCTTTATCACATGAGTCACAAGTATTATCAGGTTAGTGTCCTCTAGTTTTGATGGTATTGAAAGTCAAAGTTAATTATTTTAAGTAGCTTTCCTATTAAGGCAAACTTCAAATAAACATTATTTCCCAAGATAACATACAAACATATGACTGCTTCTGCTCTTCAACTTGTGTAAGGGTGTATCTAAGGAAAAAAGAGAGAAAGATCTGGTATTGCACGGCCCTTTCCAGCCTTTATGAAGTCTAATGAGAGCTACACTTTTGTACAGTCGGGTGTATATTTTCTTCTGCTTGCCTGGTTGTGTGTGTGAACGTGTGCATCAGAGAAGGGGAGAGGCGGTAGATCAGAAGCACAGAGTAGTAAGAACGAGTAACAAAGATGTTTCTGATTTTATGTTTTGATGACGATATTTATATGATACAAAAAACATTGAACACAAAACACCATGTAGGTTCTGAGATGCCTATTCAGATTTCTAGCCCTTACTTGGCTATTTGGGTGACCATGTAGCTGCAACATCTGGCTTCAACATGTTGAAAGAGCACAGAAGTAAGAAGGTTGAGTCATCTAACTTTTTTCCCCTCAACTCCTATCAAGCTACTTTTGATGGCTATTTTATCCCTCAATAATTGCCACATTTGAAAGCATAATTAACAAATATGTTTTCTTAATCATGTTGGCTTTTGTTACTTTTGGGTTTCATCCATGCACTCTTGTTTCTCTTACTTTTTCTTTCATTTTTTTTTTCTTAAATAACAATTTCAATTCATTCAAGCTAGTGCGTTGGCAGTGTATCTGGAAACTAATAATTTATGTCTGTGCAAAACATGTTTTCATCATTCTTTGATAAAGGAGGTTAAGAGATTGGTTGTATAAAAAGCTTACTAATGATATGAGATTTTCTGGTCAAATGGATTTTTACTATGTGCATCTGTCACTTCCAAGATAGTTTCATTTATTTATTTTTTTACCCTGGGAAATCTAAATATTAAATTATACTCATTTTTTTATGTGGGAAAGTGATGTGGGTACATTGCTGATATCCAGTCTTCCATGATCTGAAAAATGGTTACATTACGTGTGAAAATCATGCATTGCTATAACAGTTACTTAATAATCTCAGAGAGTTTTCTGAATTAGTAAATGAGTAAAGAAGCAAGGCAAAATGGAGAGATTATTAATGAACCTAGAATCAGGATGCCTGGATGTCTGTGGTGGTTCTGTCCTTAGCAAGCTGTCTGAGCTTGGGCAAGTGCCTTAACTTCCTTGGTAATACATCTTTAAAATGATGATGTTAGAAGAAAATGTATTCTCTAGTTCAAAATAGCTACAATTCTTTTGTAACTGAAATTCAACTTTTAAATCCTACAATGAAACTGAAATTCAATTTACACATATTTGAATGTTTATTTTAAAATTTGAAAAGTTTATACTAGTTTCATAAATGCTCTCAAATTATTAAAATGGGATGCCTCTATAATTAAACCTTTTTTATAATTCAACTTTTGAATCACATGTTACAATCCTTGGAACCACGAACTAAAATATTACAAATGACTTTTTAAAATATAACATTTTTCTTTTAAATCGTTGTATTAGACATGCTTGCTAAGCTTCAAAAGATGTTTGTACAATTAAATTTCCAGATCTTTTCCCACCCTGGTGTTCTCCTGGGAAACAAGAACCTTTTTTGCATTCAGACTAACAAGGATAACTTGAAAATAATACAAATAAGTGAGCTCTCAATCACTTCACTTCCAAGTTTGGGTAGAGTGCCTAAGTGGAATATACCACAATGTCACCTAGAAATAGCAAATAGTGGGCTAGTCCTTGGCAGCTACCTTAACATTTTCTTTGAACTCTTAGATTCACTTTAGGCTGTGGTGTTTCAGCTTTTGTCAGTGTTGCTCAGGAAAAGGAGTCTTGCAGAAATCTATTATTTTAAATGGTGGGTTCTTATATGGTAATTAGGTGCATTATGTAGAGAAAACATTTATGTGCTTTTTATATTATATGTAGCAATATCATTTATCAGGAGAAGGCCTGATAAGCAATAGGAGACTGAGATTGTTTTTCCAGTTTTGCCCAGGGCTCCATTTATAATCTGAATAATCATCCGATTACTTTTTGCTTCATTTTCTCATTTATGAAATTACATTATTTTCCCATGGTTGTCGTCAAGCATAAACAATAAAAATTTACCACATAATCGTTGAAATTCTGAATTGTTGTTAGGAAGGCATGATAATAAAGCTAATTGATTTAAAAACTAAACCAGTAATTGGACCTTTTTCCTTTTATGTTTTTGAAAGGATGAATGGCAGTCATTGTAAGGATGAAAAGGCTTTGGTGACCAGTCAAAATTCAGATTTATTGGATGACGAAGAAGTAGAAGACGAGGTGTTGTTAGATGAGGAGGATGAAGACAATGATATTACTGGGAAAACAGGAAAGGAATCATTGACAAGTAATTTACATGAAGGAAACGCTGAGGATGACTATGAGGAAACCAGTGCCCTGGAGATGAGTTGCAAGACCTCCCCAGTGAGGTAAGTGCCTGTGTGATTTGAGTGAGTAAGCCATAATAAAACCACATTCTATTGTGATTTCACTTGCTCTGCCTTTCCACTAGAGCAATATTTCAGGTGATAAGCAATTTCTGAGTAATGATTTTGACTAATCATGAGATTAAATTTAAAGTTAGAAGCCATAATCAGTGCACTAATTTTAAACAGATAAAAATAGAGTGGTATTCCACATAACCCACAAGCATATGAGCACATCAGTGTTTGTGAAACTAACGAGTTAGGAAGGATACATGAAAATTGCACAAATACCAGATCGTTTATTTTTAGACACTATCTGTAAGTTTTGGATACTAGATTCTTACCAGATATACGGTTTGTAAATATTTTCTCCCATTCTGTATGTTGTTTTTTCACTTTCTTGATAGTGTCCTTTAATGCATAAAGTTTTTTATTTTGATGAAGCCCAATTTATCTATTTTTTCTTTTGTTGCTTATGCTTTTGGTGTTAACAGCTAAGACTCTGTTGCCAAATCCAAGGTCATGAAGATTTACCCTACACCCTACCTATAAACGAAAAAAACCAAACCCATTGCCACTGAGTCGATTCCAACTCATAGAGACTCATAGAACACAGTAGAACTGCCCCATAGGGTTTCCAAAGTTGTAATCTTTATGGAAGCATACTGCCACATCTTTCTCCCATGGAGCAGCTGGTGGGTTTGAACCGACAACCTTTCTGTTCGCAGCCGAGTGCTTAAAACCTCCCCAAAAATAGAGATTTGGAAAGTACCTAATTCATGTGATAATCTGGTGTGATTATCTTTATCAGTAAAATATTATTGAGAGTTAACAAATTTCACTTCATTTGATAGTATGTTATCTATATAGATGATAGATTTTTTAATGGAAAAAATTGACCAAATAGTTAAATTGATGGGAATATTATATTTTTCACATTGATAGTGAGTGCTGACAAAATATTACTGTAATTGGCTTTATTTTAAATGGAAATTATAAATGTATGAATTCTGTCTCTACTGCACTGCTGACTTAATATGTCATTGACCTTAACTCTATCTCAAATATACCCTTCACTTTAGTTATTAAAAATCTTAGAGAAACATATTGTTAAGATATTCACATTTTAACAGAGGCAATAATTGATGCATGCTACTTTACACTGCAAATACAAAATAAAGTTTTGACAGCTGTATAGATTCAAATGAAAGGTGATTTAATTGGATAACAAACTGAAAAAGAAAAGAAAATATCTCTATGCTTTCCCATTGGTTCATTTTAGATATAAAGAGGAAGAATATAAAACTGGACTTTCTGCTCTAGATCATATAAGGCATTTCACAGATAGCCTCAAAATGAGGAAAATGGAAGATAATCAATATACTGAAGCTGAGCTGTCTTCTTTTAGTACGTCCCATGTGCCGGAGGAACTTAAACAGCCGTTACACAGAAAGTCCAAATCACAGGTACATATTTTCCTGCAGTGTAGCATCATGGTAACATTGTTTGTGCATGAAAATGTTTATTTCCTTTGATTGACAAAGGGTAGTTATTTTATCTTTGCAATATTCTAGAATCTGGACAAGTTCAGATGCTTTAACCAAAACATTCATGTCTATATTCTATGTATGGTTGAATCCAAAATAGTTGATTAGTACAGCAATTAATATGGCTGCATTCTGCATGGAAATTTTTGTGACATACTATCCTACAATAATTATTTCTTTACTTTGCAATCTCCTTACTTCTGTTTAGATAGTCCGTAACTCTATGCTTGTATCTGTTTATACACTATGTCAGAATTAATTTCTAATTGCATTCTGTCTATAATTTTTGTCAATGTAATTATACTTTAGGATTTTGGAGAGCAAATTCTGTCCTCTACTTTTTTTTTTTGGTCCCTTACCATGTCTAGTAAATTTTTATATATAATTAATTAACAAGTTATATAATTACAGAGTTTATGATTAAGAGAGAAAACTGAAGCTCAGAGATTAAATCAGTTGCCAAAAGTCTGCAGCAATTTAGTGACAGATCAAGGAAAAAAAAACTATCAAATTTTAATTAAATGAATGACTGAATGAATGCTACCCAAACTGATTGGGCTTTGCAGCATCCTATTAGCATTCTGGTAACTAAAAATAAATCCAGTTATGAGTCCATAAATATCAATTAAAAGATCCTCAGTTCTTTTATCACACAATAAAGGAAGTCAGTACTTTCTGTTTGACATCCATACTCAACCAGATTGTTCATTCAGGTCAATTTAAAAAAGCAACTTCCTATTACAGGTAGTCCCCGACGGGGTTCCATTCCGACGACTCTCGTAAGTCGGTTCTGACGTAAGTCGAATACCTCTTTTTTTTTTAGTTTTCATTATTATTGCCTTTTATTATCAGTATCTCTCTATAAATCCGATCTTTGAACATCTGCAGGTGAACATCTGAGAATGATAAAATCAGCAAATTACGTACTACAAAATTGTATGTAGTACATATTTCTAACAGTAAGATGTACAAAAAAACAAAAACAGTTGTAAGTGCGGTTCGTCATGACTTGAGTACCTTGTAAGTTGGACTACCTGTATTACCATATTTATTGGTCACTTTGGTCTTATTAATCCATTGTTCCATTTTAGAGGTGGCCTAACATTTCAAACAATGTGATCATGTTGGCTTTTACATTAGGAAATTATTTCCTATTGGGCCAGGATGTTTTTGGCTGGTCTTAACAACAAATGTAACAGTATCTCAATTAAGATAGGGACACATCATGCCAATGGGATAATACCAGTTTTTAAAAGCCAGTCAAAAGTTTTAAGATGCCATATATGAGAATAGGAAAAATAAACGTCCTTTCTGAATTGAATTAAAAGCAGTCAGTCTCAACTCTAAAATGGCCTAGCTCTATTAACTTGAGAACGTCACTTAATGACTGTAGGTACCATTCCTTCATCATAAAGTGGGATAGGTGGAGAATATATCTAAGATCCCTTCCTGCTCAATGATTTAATGGGGATAAAAATGAATTTTTCAGTTTTTAACATTAAAAGTAAACTAGATTAGATATCTCGTTTTCACTTGGAGACATCGTAAGCAATGGCTAGTATTTTTTAAAATCCTTGATTTCCCATTTTTCTTTCCTAGTTAGTGATCAGAGATACAGAAGGATTCAGTTTTTTATTGCTTTTAGTTGTTCACCTAAAATACATTTTATTGCAAGAAATAATACCTTAAAACTGCAGAAATTGTTTAGATGTGTTAGGAAGCAAAAAGGACCTGAGACTCCAGAGATGATGGATATTTCAGTAGCGGCATTTTGCAAGCCTAGCTCGTATTTTTATTGGTACTTGATCAGGTCATATGTATCAGTTTGAAAATGGTCGGGCACTTTTGCAAATTGACTTTATTTCATGATAGTCTTCATTCATTCATTCATTCATTCAGTGGTTATTGACTGCCAGTTATGTGCTGAACACTAATTTTTATATACGTGGAAATGTTCATTTCCTTTGATTACCAAAAGACTGCTGTTCTGTCTTTGTAATTTTCTAGAATCTGAACAGGTTCAGAAGCTTTTCTCAAAACACTTATATCTTTACACAGTTGGTGATTTTTATAGTGATTGATTTCAAAATAATTGACCAGTACAGTAATTAATACGGCTACATTCTGATAAGAACTTCTCCGACAAACCCTATCCTACAAAAATTAATTTCATGATAATTGGTAATATTTTTGTCAGGCACACTGAGCTAAGCACTTTATGTAAGTTAGTGACTGGGATTCCTCCACAACCTTTAGAGGCAAATATGCTATTACAGTAAAACCTGGGAAAACCTGAACCCATGTAGAGTGGAAACCTGTCAGAGAAGGAAAACTCAGATATTTTCCACAAATAGGGAGTGATAGAGAAGTGGGAAGACTGTATCCTGTCAAAGGTGGAAAACTTGTGAGACCTAGAAAAACAAGGCAGTCCTGTCGAGTTTGGCTTTCACAGGTCTCACTGAATTATCTCCATTTCATATGAGGAAAGTGAAGCTTAAAATGTTAAGCAGCTTGCCCAAAGTCACACAGCTAGTTAAGTAGAGGCAAAGTAGAGACCAGGATTAAAACTCAGGTTTCCAGAATTTTCTCTGTACCCCCTTTCATCTTTCCAAACATAGAATGGGTTTCGTTAAGACTATTTCAGAATATTCTTTATCCCGAGCCCTAAAAGTGAGTACATCATTAGAGCAGATAGTTTAAGTTCAATGCTCACTTAGCCCATGCCCTACACTCAACAAGGGCAAGGACTGCATATTATTTATCCTAGACTCCCTAGAACCTAGCATGGTACCTGTCATAGAGTAGGTGCTCAAGAAATATTTGTTAAGTGGATGCTGATGTTTTGTAGAGTTCCAGAAGGCAAATTGACTACATAAAAGTCAAATGTGTACATTTAGAGCAATGACCCTGCAAATCAAAATCAGTCTGCAAGGAAGGGCAGATTTTCTAACTGAATGCCATGATTACAGAAGAAACCACAGACTGGCCACATGTCTCAGCATGACTCCCAGAGATGAAATTCTGCCTAACAACAGAGACATTTTGTCTTTGTTTACAGACAGTGGAATGTCTTTGGCAGGACTTTAATGATTCCACTTCAGCATTTTGACAAGCAAGTGTAGCAATGGATGAGACCAACAATGGCAAATCAACAGTGAAACGTTCACTCCCAAGTCAAGACCAAACATTTCCTTTGAATATTTTACTTGGCAATAAACAGAGGATTCTCTCAACAGTTATTTAGAATTTTACAAGATAATAGGGAAGAAAGAGCACGGCCTCCCAGAACACCTCTGAACACCTTCTGCTCAGCAGATACTGGAGCACAACTTGGTTAGAACATTGTTGGGTCTTGTGTTTTATTTTTTGGTAGAGCTGACTTTATCCTTTTTAATTTTCAAGGTCTTTGGGTTTCAGCATTGAATATTTCAAGCATAGACGGAAATTGGAAGAAGGACACTGGATTAAAAATTGACAGAAATATGTTCTAGTTCTGTCTCTCCTGCTATCTAGTTGAGTGACTTTGGGCAAGTCATTTCACCATCAGTGCTCTCAGTTATAACATGCAGGAGTGAGACTGTTTCCCCTTCTAGAATACAGTGCTGTCAAGGCAGGTCTGTGTGCTGTTCATATGTGCAATTTCAGCTGTAAGCACACAATGCTGTTTTTGATTAATTGAACCTGTGAAGTAGATAGATGTCTGTATATGTGGTTGGGCAGTGGGATGAGTCATATTTCTCAATGGAGGCACAACTGACATTTTGGGTGGAACAAATTTTTATTCCGTAGAACACTTTTGTGGGCCCCTAGACACTAGAGGCCAGCAGTAGCCCCTCGTCATTATAACAACAACAAAAATATATATGTCCCACACTTTTCCAAGCACACCCATGAGGGATGCTCCTACTTAGGATCCCGTCTCTTCTCAACATTCACCAGTAATATTCTTCAAATTAAAAGCGATGTTTTTCAAATATCATTTACCAAGTCTCTCTTTTTTACCTCAGGCATATGCTATGATGTTGTCATTGTCCGAAAAGGAGTCCCTCCATTCTACATCCCACAGTTCTTCCAACGTGTGGCACAGTATGGCAAGGGCTGCAGCGGAATCCAGTGCCATCCAGTCCATAAGCCACGTATGACGTTTCCAAGGTTGACCAGAGTGGGACCAAGTCCAACAGTAGCATGGCTCTTTTACATAGGACTATTTAAAAGACTGCTGAGCAGAATGCCTTATAAACCTGAAGGGTCACTCATTTAAAGTCTGGTGACCTTAAACTGAATGATTAAAAAGAAAGAAAGAAAAAAGACTATTTATTCTCGATATTTTGTTTTGCACAGCAAAGGCAGCTGCTGACTTCTGGAGGATCAATGTGACTCAAAGTGATTCAAAGAAAGTGAAAAACTTGCTGGGCAGAAGGCATCTTCCAGTTCACCCTGCCCGACCGAGGATGTGTGTGAGAGAGAGGGGCAGTCGAGATGTCAGCATTGATACGGATGAACACTCCATAGAAACTGAATCCTTTTTTGTACAAGATCACCTGACACATGATTGGGAACAGTTGCTTTTAATTACAGATTTAATTTTTTTCTTTGTTAAAGTTTTAAGTAATTTAACCCTTTAAAGATGGAAGTAGTTGAATGAAATGCACACTCGATAATTCTAGAAGCTGATAACAGGGAGTTCTTGTTCCCCCTTAACCTTTGCCTTCTCAAGTACATTGTTAAAAAATAGGGGAAAAGGGTATGTGTATATTGTAAACTATGGCTGTTCAATGCTCAAAGAGGTTAAGTCAGTAAAGTATCCTGTTCATCACCAGTACCACTGTACCGCTAATAAAATGTTTGCCAAATCCTTGTAATAACATCTTAATTTTAGACAATCATGTCACTGTTTTTTAATGTTTAATTTTTTGTGTTGTGTGTATCATGTATTTATTTGTTGGCAAACTATTGTTTGTTGATTAAAATAGCACTGTTCCGGTCAGCCACTACTTTATGATGTCTGAGGCACACCCCTTTCTGAATTTCAAGGACCAAGGTGACTTGACCTGTGTATGGGAGTGCCAAATCGTGTTTGGCTTTTCTTAACATTCCTTTTCTTTTTGTTGTTTTGTTTCCCTTCTTAATGAACTAAATAACGAATAGATGCAACTTAGTTTTTATAATACTGAAATTGATTCAGTTGTATAAATGATTATAATTTCCTCATGAAAGCATGATTCTTCTGATTAAAAAGTGTACCCCATATTTTATGCTGGTTGTGTGCAAGCTTGTGCGATGTTATGTTCATGTTAATCCTATTTGTAAGATGAAGTGTTCCAGACCTTATGTTAAAAGAGAAAAGTAAATAACAGACTGTATTCAGTTATTTTGCCCTTTATTGAGGAACCAGATTTGTTTTCTTTTTGTTTGTAATCTCATTTTGAAATAATCGGCAAATTGAGGTACTTTCTTCAAATGCTTTGTACAATATAAACTGTTATGCCTTTCAGTGCATTACTATGGGAGGAGCAACTAAAAAATAAAGACTTACAAAAATGATTGCTTTTCCCACTGTGTGGTATTTTCCCCTCTGGGCAATTTTTGTTTCCCTTTGGGATCCAGTGATTTAAAGATATGAAGGCTGTGACCTTGATGCCCTAACAGATACATGGAATGTAGAGCATAGTTGTATTGTTTTTAGATGACATACTTGATCATTCTTGGTCAATAGGGAGTTGGGGCATCTCCTGCTCGTTGTTCTGTACTTTCTCCATGTGCGGACAAAGTCAGGGCTCACGTACACCACTACACGGTCTTGGCATCGTTCTAAGTTAGCAGCACCCACTGCAGTTAGGACAGAGAGGAACGCACAGTTGTGTGTGTGTGTTTTATTCTGCTAAGTATATATGTATATATATCAAAACATTTGCTATTTCAACATTTTTTACGTGTAAATTCAGTCACATTAATCACTTTCACCATGATGTGTAACCATCACCACTATCCGTTTCCAAATTTTTCCTTCACCACTAACAGAAGTTCAGGCTCCCCTAAGCAATGAATCCCTCTTTCCCCTTCCCCCCCACCCCTGGTAACCACTAATAAAATTTGGTCTCCATGTATTTGCCTTGTCTAGGTATTTCATATAAGTGAGATCAGACCAACATACAGTATTTCTGCTGAATTTTACATAGAGTATGTCAACCAGTGCTCTGTTTCTAATTTTTGTTTTAATTACACAATTACCATTAACTGGTTCACAAGGGAAAAAACCTTTTTATTTCCCTTTTAAGTTTTCGTACACACGCAAAAATTTCTTTCTTCATAGTTATAACGGTGTAGGTACGATTTTGTATTTTCTTTATTTGTGGCAAAAATGCTATTGTTTTTAGGTACCTTCGAGTCAGTTCTGAAGCATAGCGACCCTATGCACAACAGAAGGAAGAACGGCCCAGTCCCATGCAATCCTCACCATCGTTGCTATGTTTGAGCCCATTGTTGCATCCACTGTGTCAGTCCGTGTCATTGAGGTCTTCCTCTTTTTCGCTGACACTCTGCTTTCCCAAGCATGATGTCCTTCTCCAGGAACTGGTCCCTCCTGATAACATGTCCAAAGTACATGGAGATAAAGTCTTGCCATCCTTGCTTCTAAAGAGCATTCTGGCTGTACTTCTTCCAAGACAGATTTGTTTGTTCTTCTAGCAGCCCATGGTATAACTCAGTATTATCAACCATCACCATAATTCAAATGCATCAATTCTTCCTGGTCTTCCTTATTCATTGTCCAACTTTTGCATGCATATGAGGTGAGTGAAAATACCATAGCTTGGGTCAGGGGCACCTTAGTCCTCAAAATGACATCTTTGCTTTTTAACACTTTAAAGAGGTCTTTTGCAGGAAATTCGCCCAAAGCAATACATCATTCGATTTCTTGACTGCTGCTTCTATGGCAAAAAGATCACTGCATATTGCTACAGATTTTTCAAAATAGTCATTTGGCAGTTGCCCAATATTGCATCAAGTTTGATCTACAAAGATTTCCTCAACCATTTCAATTTTGTTGAAAATTTAGGTTATGCTTTACTTTTCCAGAGTATAAGCAATGATAATTTTCATGCATATAACTGTTTCTGTGTGTTCAGATACGTACATGCAGGGTTGGAATGTGAGGAGTATATTTGCATATGATAAACTCTGGTGGGTGAGCAATTATGAATGTATTTTTTTGTTTCTTTAATACATTGCAAATTTTTTTAGAATAGGGTGAGTCCAATTTTGGCAGATTGTAGAGGTTTTAAAAGGCCTGAAGAATAAATAGGTATGACACATTGAAACAGATTCAGACTAATTCCTTCGTTTATTTATTCATTTTAGCCTCAATGCCAAATACATAGAGAATTTCCTCATCGTTTCTAAATGTAGCCATTATAGAAATTAAAAATAGGGGGTATAAATACTGATTTTTTTGAAAAATAAAAAGTGTACATAGGAAGAAATATTCAGAAAATATACTTAAGCTATAAATCTGGTGTGTAAAGAATGAAAATAGGAATTTAGTATTTGGGACATAAGAATAACACATTTGAGAAAGCAGAAATCTGGAATGTGTTGTGCATTTTGCTTTGTTTTCAAGCATATACCTACAAATTCTGAAGGAATTCTTATACTCCCAGCGCTACTGAATTCTTGTTAGACTTTGAACATGACATTTCAGTTGTTTGCTAATAGTTAGTCCCTCCAAATTTCAAAAGGCTTATAAGCCTTACATTTCTGCTCTTTTCTCCCCATTCATCTCGCCGGCAGTCCTCTACCACATGCCCTTGTGGGGAGGCAGTGAGATATGGTGGAGACAATGGTGAATTTGGAAATGGAAGGCCTGGATTTCGGTTCCGGCTCTGCTACTTCAGTGGCTTTGTGGTCTTGGGCAAGTTACATACCTCTCAAAGTCTCATCTGTGACCTGCCCCTCCTGTTATTGCATTGTATCTCCGTGAATGCCAAGATCAAAATAAAGCAAGTTTTTGGAAATATTTGGTAAAAATTCTACAAATGCAAAGAATTTTATAATGTTCGTGGTAATAGTTAATAAAACAGAATGTATATGCATGGATATATGTATTACACGTAACACATATATATTATATTAAATACATACGAACAGACGAACATGCTCATGTACACACATGCACTGTTATATTTTAGAATATATCAGAAAATCTGTTCTAGATTATACAAAAGTGGATATGCAAGTTTTCTAGCCAAAATGTTAAAAGATGTTTATTAAACAAATATGTGAGCTTAAGAAATAAACAAAGCTCAGGCCTTTGAAAACATGAGGGATCCAATATAATTGTCGAGAGTCCACAAAAAAATTCAAAGACAGCTAAGAAAATACACATTCAAAGAGTGTGGACATTCACAATTTTATTTTCAAACAATGACCATTTATCAATCTTATTTCTGTACAGAGTAAATAAAATTAGTTTTTATTTTTTTAACTGCCTGCTATGTCAATGTCCTGCTGGGAATGTCTATATCCATTACCTCAATTAAAAGTCACAAAAGGTTTGCAAGCAGGCAATATGATTCCTGTTTCACAGATGAAGAAACTGAAGCTCAGAAACTTTGAGAACCTTGCTCAAGGTCACTCAGCTGGGAACTGGCCACTGAGACCCTCACTGGCCCACACTTAGCTGCCAGTCCCACACTTCCTGATTCAGACTTAGCTAAAGGAAAGTCGAAAAAGGAATGTTTCAAAGTCAGGGGAATGCACCCCCACAGACAGTGAGGCTATTGGAGATGCAAATGTGCTGGGGAGACATGTAGGCGTCTGAGTCTTGGCTGTGAAGAATCTGAAAGGTGAGCACCAAGAACTGGTCCCCAGGGGTTTTTTATTCCTCTTATCTAAAGTCAGAACCAACAATACTAGCACTTTTGAAAGGCCCTAGATGCTTCCTTAATAACGGCCTTAGTCATCTTGTTTGCAAATTCCTAGCAGTTAGCTTGAGTTTCCTCCTTACCCTTTTGAAAAAAAAAAACAAAACAAAAGATTTACCCTAAACTTAACGGTTTGGAATTATTAAAATGGCACAATTTAAACCCTTTCTAAAATGATTAGCACACTCATCAAGAGGGAAAGAAAATGTGAAAGCAAGTGCAGCTAAGAAGTGTACTTAATGTCTCTCAATGTTAAAGGAATTGTTGATGGAAGGAATATAGGAAAAAGTTGGAAGAATGGAAGAAAAAACTTACCAAACATCTGGATCCAGGAGCACAGAGAGAGAGTACAGAGAGCTAGCCACTTTGTCCACAAAAGATTTGGCCAATATTTAATTATTCTTATATTTTGCATGACCATTTCTAAATAAAAGAGACTGTCCTTGGTGCATACATACTAACAAAAAGAAAAGATTCAATACTCAGAGGACACTGAACTTTTGTTAATGGCGATGGTATAATTTTAAAATGGATAAGGCTTATGACCGCACAACATGATAAAAATAATTAATATCACTGAACTGACGTGAAGATTGTTGAAAAATCAAATGTTCTGTTACATATATAGCTACCACAATGAGAGAAAATAAAAAGGAAAAGAGCTACAATCCCTCTCTATTACAGTTTTTTAAGCTGAAAGAATCTAATTTCAATTTAAGCAGAGAGGCATAGTACTGGATTGATATGGGAGAGCTCATACAATTGAAGGGAAGGGTTGGGAACCGGACCTAAGATATGACCCAAGATCACTCTGGGTAGGCAAGTAGCAAGAACCCATAGGCAGCTTCTTAGGCTGTTATCATCAGGACAAATTGTTGGGGGAATTTTACTAAAAACAAAATCTGTTTCCAATCCAGAAAACCTCACCACAAAAATAGCAGAGAAAGAAAAGTTTTATTATTGAATAAGCATTAAACCAGAATGTGGTACATCACAGGCAATTTGCTAAAGAGATCAAAAAAGAAATCTTATGCTTTATACAGTTAAGCAGATACAACCCATTACATGTTTTTAAGATAATATTGCTAATATTCTATTATCTTTAAAATACCTGGAGTTATGCTAAACTGCTTACAGGAAACTGAGAGGTAGGGGTGATCTTCCTGGATAATTACATTTCAAAAGAGGATGGCTCCCATCCCTTGAGAAAACATCCTTGATTTACATACTTTTCAAAGGGACAAAGAATTCATAGTTACAACTTATCTAATGAGGATTCTGAAAGAGGGGTGGTGGGGGGTGGGAACCACCTCTTCCTTATTTTCAAGAGGGAGAATTAAAACTTCTAATTTGTATTTGTATTTTTCCTTAAAAAATCAACTAAAATCATTTTCAGGGTTTTTTGTTGTCTTTTTTTTTTTTTTGTCGTTCTTGCTTCAAATTAAAATTCTAGGTAAAGAACATCAGATTGGCTCTACTTGAAACTCATGCCCATACCATGCTAAAGAAAGCTCAAAAAGCACCATTAAACTCATCTAAAGGTGAGAGACAGAAAAGGCTAATTCCTTTACAACCAAATTGAGAGGCTCCTACCAAATAAGTTGGAATATATTATGGACT